CCCCGACCGTGGGCCGCATTGCCATGAAGCAGGAGGGCTTCTGTGCATGAAGTTCAGCAAGCATAAAGGCCATGCCGTGCCCCTGCACAGGCGCTCGAGGCATGAGAGAGTCACAGGAAGGGGGCCGGAAGCGAGCGCGGGAGAGAAAATCGAGATTGAGGGGGAGGGTAAAAAAAATTCAAAATTCAGTTTCACACCACATCCTGTTTTCACAGCAAGCGCAGGTCGCATGTAGCTGCAAGGGCACTGAATGCTGCATGCCTCTCAGTGCTGCATTTTACTGCATGTCAGGGGCCATTTTAGGATCTTATCCATAGGGGGGTTCATCCCCCTGAAGAAATACGTGAAACAACCCCCCCACCCCCCAGTTAAGTTTGCTGAGGGGCAAACTTGAAAGAGACAAAAAATTGGAAGTAGAGCCTCCTATATCTCAACTTGCCTCCATTTCAAGTCCTACCAGTGATTCCAGCGCAACTCCTCAGGGTTTTACCATAGTGAAGCTTGTGAATTCAGGTAATGCTGCTCCCAAACCACGCCGGTGACCAGAACACACGTCCACCTGGCAATCTGGTGTGGCACACTCAGCGACGGCACATCATGACACGTAAGCCCAGGTTTACGGAAAAAAAAACGTTTTATTCCAGTAAAATCAGTAAGACGTCTGATAAACACACACTTTAATATTTTGCACCCACCATTTTTACGAACGCTGCAAAACATCCCCCTGATTGTGAGCCGCACCCCCCACCCCCCCCCAACCCCCCCACCGTTGAGGTTAGACGTGCACATTAGCACTTCCGCCATTCTTGCACGGCAGGACGCTCCCCCCCCACTGCCTCCGGAGGGACATGTCCTCCGACATGGAGCTGGCTACAGCTATCTCATGGGCTCTGCCTCCGTGTGTCCCCCCCCCCAAAAAAACCATAAAAAAAATAATTTGACCTCCAGAGAAACCAAGGAGGGATAAAAAAAAAAACAGCTCAGACAACAGACTTATCTGCTTTGGTCACTGCGAAGCAGCATCTCCCTCCCAAAATACACACAAGGCTATAAACTGAACTGATCTAATTTTAACAGTAAAAAGGTAATAGTGAAAAGATTAACAATACAACATAGAGACATACAGCACCGTGCAAAAGTCTTAGGCAGCCAAAGAAAATCATGTACAAATGATCTTCATGTCGGTGCAAAGCTATGCTATTATGCCTGTCAAAGTGTGTCAGCTTAGTCATTTCAAAACCTCAGCTAAAATCACCCTATTATTTCCAGCAGCCTTACAGTACACCCATGGATTTTTTGTCTCAACTACTAGCACTCATTGACTTTTTTTAAGTTAAATAGCTTTAGACACTGTTTTGAGTGCCTAGGACTTTTGCACAGTACTATATATAGCAAAAGACTAACACAGACAAAATTTAAGCCACCGTAGTAGTAAGACTCAGCATTCACATCTACGAAATCTGTTTCAAACAAAAACCCAGTTTCTTCTCAGTAATAAATTGATATTACGGAATCTGACCCATCGACTCTGAGAAAGTAACAAGACCCAAACTCCCCACAGCTCCACAGCTAGCTTCCCACCACTGCACTGTAAACTTGACTTTGACAGACATACAATATGACCTGAATGAGACGATACACGTACTTAGGACAAAGATACGTGATCATTGAGCCAACGGAACATTCATGCCTACTTAAGCAGCTGTTCATGGTCTATTAAATAAGTGGCTCTTAATGCTACAAACTGTTAGCTAGTAGCGCTACCTGATAAAACAGCCCTTAAACCGTATTTTGCTTTGCCAAAAGAAAGTTACGTGTTATTTTAAATGTATTCCCTAGCCAGCAACATACCAAGATGACTACAAAAGTCTCCCCTTGGTTGGTTAACAAAATAAGTGTATTCAACGCATAGGTCTTTTTTTCAGTTACTCTGTGTTTGCTAGTTGTGTTGTGTGGTTGTACTGTGCACTATGTAGCAAGATGTACTGTATCCTGCAGGGTGTCTATGTGTAGTAGCAACACAGCCTGCTGTGCATTACGGCATAACATGTAGCAATGCTGTTGTCTGCCAGGTAGTAACAATGGGATCGGCAGCAGGTTGTGATGTAGCATGTAATGGTAGCGTGGTCATCCTCCGGGTGTGATGTAGCGTGTAATGGTAGCGTGGTCATCCTCCAGGTGTGATGTAGCGTGTAATGGTAGCGTGGTCATCCTCCAGGTGTGATGTAGCATGTAATGGTAGTATGGTCATCCTCCGGGTGAGATGTAGCATGTAATGGTAGCGTGGTCATCCTCCGGGTGTGATGTAGCATGTAATGGTAGCGTGGTCATTCTCAGAGTGAGATGTAGTATGTAATGGTAGCGTGGTCATTCTCCGGGTGAGATGTAGCATGTAATGGTAGCGTGATGTAGTATGTAATGGTAGCATGGTCATCCTCAGGGTGTGATGTAGTATGTAGTGGTAGCGTGGTCATNTGAGATGTAGCATGTAATGGTAGCGTGATGTAGTATGTAATGGTAGCATGGTCATCCTCAGGGTGTGATGTAGTATGTAGTGGTAGCGTGGTCATCCTCTGGGTGTGATGTAGAATGTAATAGTAGCGTGGTCATTCTCCAGATGTGACATACCGTATAATATTAGCCTGGTCATGTTCTGGGTGGTATGTAGCGTGTACCAGTACTATCGTCATCCTCCTGTAATGGTGTAGTATGTAATAACAGCATATTCATCATCCTCAAATGGTGCAGTGTATAATGTGGTCTTCCTGTTGTAGTGTGTAATAAGAGTGCAGTCATTTTCCAGGCAATTCCAGTGTGCAATAAGAGTGTGGTACTTTTCTAGCCATGTTGTACTGTGCAATAAGAGCGTGGTCATTCTCCAGGAGTGTTGCAATGTGTGTAATTAGAGTATGCTCATTCTCTAGGAGTGTTGCAGTGTGTGTAATAAGAGTGTGGTCATTCTCCAGGTGTGTAGCAGTGTGTAATAAGAGTGTGGTCATTCTCCAGGCGTGTTGCAGTGTGTAATAAGACTGTGGTCATTCTCCAGGTGTGCTGCAGTGTGTAATAAGAGTGTGGTCATTCTCCAGGCGTGTTGCAGTGTGCAATAAGAGTGTGGTCATTCTCCAGGTGTGCTGCAGTGTGTAATAAGAGTGTGGTCATTCTCCAGGTGTGCTGCAGTGT